AAACAGTGGATTGTATCTGCATGCAGCCTATTTATATGGTGACACCTGTGCAGTACAGACTTTATCTCTCTGTTCAGCTCAAGCACACTAAAGCCATTGCTTATGCCAWGATTTTAGGTGTTCCTCAAACACAAGCAATAGTCTTCAAAAAATGATGAGATTGCCCATTGTCCTGGCTTTTCTTTTAGGTCTTATTTGAGATACTTTACTAAAACAAGACCCAAGAGCAGCATTGTAGGCAATTGGTGCGGCTCATAAGGGTACATCCTGACTCATACCATTCCTGGAAATGCCTGCTAACAAAAATTTGCTTTCTTCCAGTTGAAAYGAGCTTCGCTTGCTGCACTTCATGAAATATTCATCTCAGATGTGGCTGTTACCCTGACCATTCCCTCTATATTTCAATATGGCACCTCTTTGCCCTACCTGTTTCTCCAGGTTTGTAGAAGGCCTTGTCTGTCTCCACCAGAATTACATTCTTCTTTGGCTTTATCAGCACTTTCTTGCCACCTTCAAAAAGCACACTGTCCCCGCTGCGGATCAGGGCATGCACAAAAACCACCTCCTCTGGCTGTCGGATGAAAAATTTAATGGTGTCTGAGGCTGTAAGTAAYTTGATGGGGAAAGGGAGGCACCCCTCCTGATAAATTAGGGCAGTGCTAGGAGGCTGAGTGTTCCTTTGCTCCAATGTTTGTTGCTATATTCCCAAAACAGCATTCAAAAACGCTCCCCTCCAACCTTCCTCATCTCCATTCCCTTTCTTTGATTTATTTCATTACTTTCCCTAGTCATATTCTTCTCTATGATCTCCCAAATCCTCTTTCTCCTTCTTTCCGTTTTTCCTTGTTGTGTTTGCCTTTTTCCACATTTCCCTCTCCCTTTTGCTATTTTCTCCATACTATATTTCCACCACTTAACATTGTTTTGACATAAGAGAGGCTGAAGACCTTTGGTTTGTAAGAAAGAGATCAAAGAAAARTGTCTTACATGTGAAGTGGAATCGTCCGTTTCCTTGGGAATGAACTCTGGGATCTGGATTGTTTGGGATAAGGAAATAGAAAACAAATTTATTAGGCTATTTGAATCTTATCCTARATATGAGAGACAGAATCACTGTTAAACAGCCCCCAAACTTTAGAGTCCAAACTCCACTGCATGATCCTGTTTCTTATCCAGTTGGCATTATAAGGAGAAGAAGCAGCCACCTTCTGTCTGTGATTCATGAACATAAGAGTGATGCATCTGATGTGATTCTTCTACTCAGAGAAATAAAAGATTTTTGGTCAAATCAAGGAAAACAGTAAGAAAGTCAGACCTGGACCAAGGTAGCAAAGGGAAATGAGATTCTGATCAGATGAAAACTGTGTACATCTCAGTATCAGAAAGATATTAAGAGATTCTATATATAAGTAGGGAGCTGCAAAAAGCTGAAGTGTAGCTCTACTACAGAAAACAACCTATCACCCAGACACTCATCTCACCTGGAGAAAGGTACTTCACTTCTTTGCTAACTGCAGACTTCCCTGAGTTTCCAGAGCCAGGACTGGCTCCCTCCTAAGGCTTGGCACTGAAAATGTAGTTTATGATTTTCTGGTTGATGCAAGAACAAAAAGTGACTACAGTTTCTTCTTGAGTTGTGCTGAATCTGAAATGCTAGTGGGGCACTAACATGTATAAAAGTCTGCAAGAATGACACAGAGATTTAGCACAGTGCTGATAAAGACAAAACTTTGGAGAGTCTCAGTATCAGGCACATCTCCATGGCTCTCCAAAGATGTAGCTAAAGTTGCTGTAGTTATGTAGTCTCATGTAGTAGTCTCAGTAATGGTTAGCTTAGCTAACTACAGCAAGAACAGGACACCCAGGAAATATCCAGGATGCCTAGGTGAAATCCAGTTCATTATGGGTTCAGCACCAACACCATCCAACATAGTTAAAGTTAGGTCAATAGCTAAGCAAGCTGTAACTACATCTTGCACTACAAATAAAGCTTAAGCATTAGAACCAATCTCTCAGCTGGAGGGTCAGACCTCTGAGGAAATAAGAATGAAAAGTATTCCATAAGCAGTGCTCTATGATATATAAACATTTGCATGGACTAATCAYGGATAACAGAATAGAAAGGCATTTTCTTTCCAGCATGTTTTAAATAGGATAAAATGGTCTAACAAAGATGAAAAGACCAAGCTCTCATCTGCACAGGGAAGTATTTCTTACTTTGCTAGGTTATAGGACACAGCCACATTTTGCTTTGCATGGGTAAGAGAATACACTTATATTGTCTGCAGACTCTTACTAATGTCAGCATGTCAAGGCAGTGAAGGATGGTGTGCCTGGAGATGTGCTGGCCTTCTGTCTGAAGTGAAGGTAAGAGCATTCTCTGCCAAATCAGCAATCACAGCTACACTCACCTGGAAGCCGATGCACTCAAAAGTGCCTGGCTTCTCCACATTCTGTTCCACTAGTGTGTGATTCTGGTCTTCCCTCTCCAAGGTGACAGTCAGGGAGACAGCCTCAGGGAGAGACCTGAGGTGGATACAGAGTTTCTCTTCTTGGGAATGGTGAATGACAGCAGGAAACACCACCATATATTGACTAGAAGAAAGAAGGAGACATTCAACGATAATTCAGATTCTGACGTAGGGAGGCCAGAATCCATCTCTGCTGCACTCATGAAAATGTAGACCTAGGATTAGAGAGGTCTGGAGGCCTACAGTAAAGGAACTGTAGGGCAGCTCCCTTTGCACTTCAGGAAGAAGTATCATACTCCATGAAAACCAGTGGACTCCAATCATATGCTTGCAACTACCCTTACATCAACCAGAATCAAGCTGCCTGGTGTAGGATTACAAGTACAGCAACAGTAGTTAGACTGCTGTGTGAAAAATGAGGACAAAGACTTAAAGACTGAGGCATAAGACTTGAACTCCACCACTACCACAACCAAATTTCAGCTCATYATTAGCAAGACACAAAATGAAGAAAAAAAAACAACACACACAAACACACACAAAATGTTGCTTATGTAGCTTTTCAGTGTTAGTCCTGCACCATGGTCCTTATCTGCAGTGGTGCTGAACACTCACAGATCTAACTGAACACAATAAGAGCTGTTTCTGCTCAGCCTGCCCAGAGAAAAAGGCCATTTGTCTCTACATTGCTAAACGATGCAGCATTTCACCACCACACCCTTCAATGATAACCCCTTCTATCAAGCCCACCAAGATCAAAAGAAGAAAATCTCACGGTTCCAAGGTTGCTGCAGCCGTGGCTGGGAATAGGGTCAGAGCTAAAAGGAGCACTTGTGCTCCCATTTCTTGGGCTGGGACAGAGAGCTGACARGATCCGCATAAGAGCAGAGAACAGACTGTACTGAGTCCAAAGAGTGGGGAGAGTTGCAGTATGGAGACTGCATCTTTCCTAGGCTAATGACATTAACTAATATTTACTTACTTCCAATAACAACAGAGTAAAGGCCACACAGCACAGTTCTTCATCCACATCCAAACTTAGGTAGCTGTTGAATTTCCATAAAACTATGCACAAGCTCTTATCCTCTGTTTGAAGAAGGCATCTTTAGTACTCTATCTGTACATCATTAGTAATACTTCCTTCATTCAAATTTTAATTGAAGTTGGAGTCAAAATCTTTCAATGCATGTCCATTTCCTTTCTACTTTTCTAGCCCCACCACATCTGGACCCTCCTCATTACAGAACCTTCTCCATAGGCTGCTTCTGTCTATCCAGCATCACTTTTCCCTCATTGCTCTACTGTAAAACCTTTGCACATAAACCAAGACATTTTAAGGTCCAAGACACCCACACATTTCAGGAAATCTCTACAATCCCCATGCCATGCACCCTMGTTGTCCAATCCTCTGCCAGCTTCATCCAGCAATAAGGTATTTCTACCTCACCACAACCACCAATCTCTTCCAGAATTCATCTAGTCACTGCAAYCTTGCATTTCATTTTCCTGGGTGGCAGCAACTGCAGCTCATATGAACATTGTTTGGACATATTTGCCCTCCATTTATGACCTTATTTGACGGTGTGCATCCTCACCTTGCCCTGGTTTCAGCTATGTTTTTACAGAGCATAGCCAAAAGTACACAAGATAGAAGGGATTTTTTTTGTCTGCCCTCTTTTCTCCCGGCTGAAGCAATACTCTGGATTTGCTTTGGCATAGATTCTACATGTGCTCGACATCCACTCTCTTAAAGCAGAATRTGATGAAACAAGAATACACTAGCCTTTAACCTAGCACCAAAATGCTGATAATGTGCAAGTTTAAAGCACTGCATGTCACTGATCTGTGAACATATTTAATTCTCTGAAATCAACAGATTTTTGAGTTAAAGCCTAAACTAGAGGGAGAAAAAAACAATCAGACTTCTGTCTGATTTCAGAAACATTACTCAGACTGTGCATCTTTGAATGGTCAGGCAGATGCGAGTTAAATGTGAACAAAAGGACAAAAAATATACACTAATACGCTCAACTTCTTTCCAGGCTGAAGTGAGAACATGGTCAGAACTATGTTGGAAGCTCCAGGATTGTTTGTAAGAAGGCTGCAAGGCAGGAATGAATTTTTAGTAAGAAGTAAATAATACATACAATAAAATTTCAATCCAGTGACATCATAAAGAAAGAATTTGGTCAAGGATGTTTCTAAGATATACCAGTAAAGAAGCTCCTGATGATGATTGAAATTTCTTTTACCATTTCTTTTGCATAGGAGCGCAWTAACTTAGCACACCTGCTGCCACCAACTGTGCTGCATAAGAGAAGAAGGCAGAGTAAATWCCTCTCAGAAAAGCAGGAGCAAACTTCACTAGGCCTTATGGCAAGTGGTTCTTGTGCTTGGGCAAATAAAAATTGTCTCCACCCCTTCTCTCCGCCCACATAGCAGCTCCAGCCATGCACAGTTTGAATTCCATCTTCTTGGTTTTGAAGCCAAAAGAGGGACAGATACCCTATCAAGGCAGGAACTGCATAGTCCTTTAGGTCTGGAAGACGGAGAGAGGGAAGAAAGAAAGCAGCAGAAGCAGGGGTGAAAGGAGGACAAAAAGGGGGCTCATCTTTCTGTGGAGGGATCTGACCTGCAATCAGCTATGTGGAGCCGCACTCTCCTCTGGAGCAGCATCCTCCTCCTGCCTGGAGTGGTTGGAATACCTGCAATGCTGTAAGAACCTTGGTTGCTTCACATCTGCATGCTGGTTTAGGGGGAATCATCAGGGTAGACAGTGACAGAAACAGGTAAAAAGTTCTGAGACAAGAGATATTTCTAGAGGGGCATCACTGTTCGTATGCCAAAGGTTTTATTTCTACTTCATATGACCCTGCTTGCCTACCCTGCAAAGCTCCTTGGCTCTTTTTCTAGTACCTTGGGCTTAGATCATGTATTTTTGCAARGATTCAGGTCAGATAAGCCCTGCCAAATTTCTCCATTCGTTTAATTCTGACCTGCCAACATTTGCATGCATGTCTAGTTTTAAGTCTAGTTTTAAAAACTTGTGTAGTCTAGTCTAGTAGTCTTTTCCTCTTCGGTATGTTGTATAGGCTGATACAGCTCACTCTCAGATAAGGATTTACTGCTGTCCGTTTCTTAAAATTTCCTTAGGACAGCTAGAAGAAGCTTTGTTTTGTGATAATACTGATTGCTTTGATATATGGTCTGTGTGATAATGCTTTCTCTAACTTCYTCAAAAAGTAATCTAGCCTGGATCTTGGGATCCCTGAAAGATAGCCTTGGAGATGATGTCTCATACTTTTATATCTCATAAGACAAAAGCAAGGGTGAATTATAAGAATTGGAAAATGTGTAAGACAGTTTTCCAGAGTAGAGAGGGCACCAAGAGATCTTTAGAAGCARTGGAGATCTTGGAAATTCAAGCAGTGAGTCTATAGTGCACCTTATGGCCCTATGGCAGGGAGAAGGTTCTATGAGATATCCTAAGAAAATTCAAAACATCATTAACATCTCTTGTTAGTTCCCCTTGTACTAGCARTAGACAAGGTGCTCGAGGCAGCTTGACAGGCTTTAAATGTGACCACCCTCAAGACTCCTGCCCAAGCAGATTTGACTCTACCAGAGTGTTGAGCTCCAGCAAAGAATTGCCAATAATTCATCTCCTTGTCTCCAAGTGTTCTGATCATTCTTGGTCCTGCCTACAAAAGTTGTCACTAGCTGACTGTCTACCATCAATAGGCAGGAGGAATCAGTGCTAAGTCTTTTGGGGGTATTCAAACCCCCAGAACCTCTGTTTCCACCAAAGCCAAGGGCAAAAATGAATTTCATTTGCTACCAATGCTGTTTACATTGTCAAGCCTGCTGGGTTGTGTGTTTTCTCCTGATGCAGGAAGAATTGGAAACTGCCATGAATAGGCCTCCATATGGTAAGGTCCAGTAATTACATCTGTGTGAAGAACACAGAGAGACAAAAATCTGGATGAAAGAGAGGATACTAAAGTCTGACCTGCAAACACATTTTGATGACCTGTAGAAGCCAGCTGCTTCTTGAATGTCGGCTCCTCTTTAATCCTAGCTGCTGCTGTACTTTATAATGTGATGTGACAGGATAAAAACAGTATCTTTGTGTTATCTGTGTTCACAGCTATGCTAGTAGCCACAGACATGTGAGATGTGAATTGAGAGAAAAAGTAYATCAGGAGTTGAAGAGCAGGTATTCATGAGACTTTGTGTGCAGGATGTGAAGCTATGACAGTGGGACTCATACAATGTGTGGCATTGGCCATGAGGTCAAGAATAGCTCATAAGACAGAAAGCGGATAATCAGGCAAGTAAGCTGCTACTGAGACATACTGTGTTGCAGTGAAATGGCCAAAGTTTCAGGAAACTTGCAGTGTAATCCAAGCCTTGCTGTGGGCCTCTTTTGTGACATGAGGAAGCCTTTTCACCTTACGCCAAGCTTATTTTATTTCCTCCGCTTTAYCTTGATATTCAGTCTTAAGATCAGTGGCTGTCTCTTACCGTATGTGAATGGAGCATGTAGCACAGACTTAGTGGTCATGATGTAGTACTCAGGGATGGGAAGAGCAGTGTAATCTGGTCTCACTGGTATCATGATACTGCAATGGTAGGACCAGAAGTCTTATTATCAATTATCTAAATCTCATGCTCAAAATCAATCCTCCTAAACATCAGCTTCACTTGGGGTCTTTTACTTTTTGTAGGAATTATGCTGTGGCAATACCGTCTCAGCTCTACTACCCCTTCTCAGAGAAAGTGTGCCTCCAGCTCAGCAGAAAAGAAGCAGTCCCAATCAATGTGAGAGTAATCTTGCAAAGCAAAGCTGAGAACAAGACTCTGATCCTGCAGTCTATCTCTCAGCTCACCTTCTTTCATTGCACAAGCTTCCAGGTGAGGAGATGATTCTCAAGAGCTGTCAGCAGGGTGAATACCATATGAGTTCTGATGTTGCTGGACAGGAAAGACAAGGATTGTGCCTTCCCTTGGGCAATGAATCTTCTCCTTCAGTATATATATAGCACTGACAATGCCCTTCCTGCTCTGGACCTTATTAATATTTTGCTCTTCTGGATTATTTTGAAAAATTTTGAAAATTGTTCTGAGATCTTTCAGGGCAAGTAAAAGAGCAATATAGAGTCTGTATCAAAATCATTATTTGAAAAGCCTGTGGATCCAAGATCCTGAATGATGGTTTATTTACAACTATGCCTGCAGGTCCCTCCTCCTGTTGGAAACCCATATGAAGTGGCTTTTATTGTCATCACATTCCTAGAAGCCAACTCAGAGTTTCAGAAGAAACAGAAAGTCCTAATCAAGCATGTAGAAAAGAAGACTTTTATCCAGACAGACAAACCCGTGTACAAACCTGGACAGATTGGTACGGATAGAATTCCATGTCTTATTAGAAAGATGGTCAGACCACAACAGATTGGGTAGCCRCTATCTCTTGGAGCAGGCAGCTGAGTGGTGTCTGCTCTGCAAGGAAGACAGGCCACAGCCTTCATCTCCCTCTGCCATTCCAGGTTGTGCATGTTTTGAAAGATTTGGGGACATTTCCCACATATGCCTGTAYGGCACATGTTTTCCCCAGTACTATTCATGCTCAGACAGCATGCCAGTGTGAACAGGGTTTGTGTGTTTTGGCTGACCTATGAGAAAAGACTCACAAAATAATGTTGCATTCCTGAGAGCTCTTGCAGATACAGAGTATGTGACTGCCCTAAATCCTTCTGTCCCACAGACTGTCTGCCTAAAAAGATCATTGACCTGCAGACTTCATCACCACTCTAATGCAGTTCAGAATGCCACAGGGCAATCTGAACAAATGCCACAATTTTTATGGCACAAAAATTATGCCACRAATATTTTCCCTGTGTCTCTCCATCATCCCTGCTGGCATGACTCTCCATCATCTCTGCTGGCAAGAGTGATGGCCCTATTTCAGGTCCAATGTCTGTAAAATGTGCTATTTCTCACCAGCACAGTCAACCTTCCCAAACCTCACATTACCACTCCATCCCCTCTTTTCTAGAAGGGATGAGATCTCATAGTAGATCTTTGAACACAGGGCCAAGAGTCACTGGCTCTGAATTCTGTCCACATCTTCTGAAGGAAGCAACCTGGCACATGTTTCTTAGGAATCCATCTCTATTATTATTAATGGGCTTGATTTGATTTCAAATCATCCTGTTTTTCTTTTGCTCTGTAGTTAAGTTGAGAACCGTAACCTTGGATCAGAACTTTATTGCCAGCAGTGAACCGGTAAGTCAAGAGGGGCAAAATCTTGGTAAGTCTGAAAATGGCATGGTCTGACTCCAAGAGTTCTGGATCCATTCTTGGCACAGTCAGAAGGCCATCTGTTGACACTTAATTTCAGTCTTATTTGGAGTGTTTACAAACAACATTGGGCATCTCCTGCTACACAGATACTGCTCACAATGCTGGGGCAGCACCTGTGAATTGTTTAGGGAAGATTCATGGGTGTCTGGGAGACAAAAAAAATAGGGATGCAAATGGTAATTTACATGAAATCATCTTACCAATAATTTTGTTATTTCTTYCTCACAGCATCTCCAGGTGGAAATGAAGGTAAATATCTACTTTTTAAGAAAGTAGTGATCTCCTTTTGCTTTGGGGAAAGCAAAGGGTTGGAGATAGTGGTGGGGAGAAATAGATGCAGAAGGCTATTTACTTCAGAATGAATGAGAAAAGCCCTTGCCTTCTTGCCCTTCTTTCCATTAATGTCCGCACAAGTTTTGTAGTTCAGTGTTAGGATATCTATAAAATATCTCTATTTTATAGATATCCTCTATCTCTATTTTATAGATATCCTGAGATTTCTATAAAATAGAGGTTTCTACAATAAATGTTACCTCTCCACCAAATTTACTGAAGGGGCACAGCATTAATCCCTTGAGGCTGCAAACTGGAGATTTGTGAATACCTTAGGCAGTTCTTTAAAAACATTCTTATATTAAACATATAGAAAATAAAAGTTTGAGCATTTATGTTGTGGCCACAAAGCTAGGGAAACTTCCCAAAACAGCTCTGGTTATTTTTTCCCCTCATAATCTCTTAGTTTGCTTTTAAGATTATAGGTAAAATATACACTTCAGTCATTTGAACTGAGGAAACGTGCCCAAAAGCTGTGAAGGGTTTGTAAAACCCCACATAGCAGAGTCTCAGTTCAAATTTGTTAAGGCACATTTGCCCACTACATCCACCAAGCAATCAATACAGAAATAAGTTTCTCAGACACCTAATGAAATGCTTTATGCTAGTTTATACAAATGTAGTACAAGGATCCATCTTCACTGTTTCAGGCAATAATTCTCATTTATTTTAGAAGTTTTATAAAGTGCCCATTTATTTCCAAGAACCAGCAGTTAGGAGAACACTGTCCACCAAAGACTGAGCATCACAATCAATAATGTCTCCAAATGCCCCTGCAGTCTCACACTCCTTGCTCAGCATCCTCAAGTCTTTGTATCCTGGCCTTACAGTCATCCTGCACAAACTGCTAAATCCATTTCCACAGACCTTCTAATGGATTTAAGATACCAGATAACACTGTAATCACTTTAAAGTTTCTTATGCCTTAGAAAGTATGTGCTGTCAGGACTGACCCTATCTACATTGACCCAGGAGCAATGCCAGCTCAAATCACCACAGGATCACAGAATTATAGAATCTTTAAAGTTGGAAGGGAACCTTAGAGATCATCCAGTACAAATATCTTTATATATCTTTACATCCAGATCTGAAAGATACTGAGGTCCCTCTTGCAGATGGACCACTTGGACTATCAGCAGTTGGTACATCTTAGTGAGACAGGCAGGCAGCAAATCAGGGCTTTGCAGCAATCAGTGGGATGATGGTTTYAGCCAGAGAACAATAATATGATAGACTGACTTTGAGGATCACAAAGAAAGGGAAAAGCTGGAACCCACCCAAGCATTACAGCTGTACCATAGACTTAGGCTTTCAGAAAAAGAGAATATAGACTTAGATCCTTAGAGTCCTTGGAAATAACCACTCTCCACTACTGCCCATGCAGGACCCCAAAGGAAACCAAATCGCACAATGGCTGAATGCTACTCCTGTGGGAGGCATTGTGGATCTGTCCTTCCCTTTGTCTGCGGAAGCACCAGTTGGAGAATACATTATCAAAACATCTGACCACACTCATGCCTTCAGGGTAGAGGAATATGGTAAGCATCTTAGTAAGCAACAGCAGCAAAGACACATTCCTTCCAGACTTGTCCCCCCACACACACATAGAGATAAACAGGCCTTGCCACTGTGAAGAGCTGTGCTAACTATGCYAGTGACTGATATGTCCAGCTACCTGCCAGTAGGTTTAATCATTGACTTTCAGTCTGACCCTAGTTTTCTCCTGTCATTTGTCCTGAGGAAGGATTGGGGCACTGTCCCACAGCTGTGACCGGTGAAAGGAACCCTCCTGTCTGGGCTAGCAGTGCATTCCTACCAGGCTTTATTCTGTTTGTGTCAGAATGAGGGAATGAAGGGAGAGTTTCCTTTTCTGTGAACACTCATCTGGAGAAGATGGAACAAATTAGTTCTCTCTCTCTTCACTGTGTTWTATTTCTCTTACTTTCTCACAGTGCTACCCAAGTTCAGTGTCTCTATCCAGATGCCTCAAGTGGTCACCATCTTGGAGGATAACTTCCGTCTCCAAGTTTGTGGCATGTGAGTGGACTTACCTAGGCAGAAAGTGCATTCTAACTGGTTTGGAAACTGCATAGTTATTAATAATTGAGCTCAAAATGATCTCTGCTAAGCCTTCCCCTCCTTAAAATCTGGTACTTTAGTATACAGCACTAAGGAATTCTCTTGGACTTCCATCTTTCTCCCTCTTCTGTCTCTTGCTTGTCTATGAGCCTGACAGTGTGACTATGGACTTCCTCAATGTGGGATGTGCCCTACAGCACTGTACCTCTGCTGAGATCAGTGCCACTGTGGAGGAAATAGCCATTTCAATTGATAGCCAGCACAGTGTTCCCTARCAGTGAACGGTGGGACAGGGATTGAGTTGGAAAGGACCAACTACTGCCTAGTACCTCACCTGATGAACTTACTGCAGTTTCTTGGCCTCTGCTGAGCTCATAATCCATGAGGATATTGTAGGCTGCAGGAGTGCTTGACTGTAAATCACAATATAAGACTGATGTTGCTTACCTTTGGGTTGCTGTTTATGTATGTTTAAGCCTCTCTACCATGTTTGAYAGGTACACGTATAAGAAACCAGTCCAAGGTAGTGTGAAGGTTGTGGTGTGCCGTAAAGATGTTCGATACAATTGGAAATTTTCCAGAGCCAAGCACAATATTTGTAGGAATTACATAGGCCAGGTGAGTACATGGGACATCCACTCCTGCTTAAGAAAGGAGAAAGGCCAAAGAGAGAGAAAAGCTGTGATGGAAAAAGTGGAATAGGCATCAGCTATAGAATCGGGCCTCTCAGCTCAGAGACAAATTACTGATATGTCYTTAGCACCCTCATGTGGCAACCTTAACTCAGTTCAGGAATTTTGCTAAGTTTTGCACTCTAATCCTCAAAAGTAGGGAAATTAGTAGGCAAGCTAACCCCTGGAGATTTGCCTACAAAACAGATATTGTGACATGGCAATACAAATGCAGACACTGATCATGTAACTGGCTTCCACTGAACGCTTTTTTGCGGTAGCAGCTTTTCAGCTGGTATAAACACCTGTCTGTTGATTCTCAGAAATTCTGGAGAGACAGAAATTACTTCTTCCTCCTAGGTATACAATTTCAGCTCAACACAAACTTTAGTCATTCATCTTTGTGATTGAATAAATGCTTCTATATTTGTTCATGGTCCCAGGGAGAAATAATGACTCATTTGCACTACTGGGTCATGAATAACTGTTGAAAGATGAGATATGAGCTTATGAAATAGCATCTCCTATTAGTGATGGCTCCATAGAGAAGATCTATATGTTATGCCAGTATAGGAGCTGCTTCTTTAACTTAGATGTCTTTAGTCCTCGACTTGTAGGTTTTGGCCTTGATATGCATTGCAGAAGGGATTAGTGCATCCATAATTGGTTAACAGATACAATTTTACATCCCCAGACAAACAAGGATGGCTGCTTTGTCGCTGAGGTGAATAATAAGGTCTACCACCAGAAGCATGATGATAATTATGATTTCAACCTGGAGRCTGTGGCATTTATAAAAGAAAGTGGAACAGGTAATAGCTTTTCCCACACTTAGTGGACCTTTTTTTTTTCTTTATATTCCTAATCATATCTTGCTGTGGATTTTCCCTGAGCACACTGTGATGGTACAAACATTCTGATCTACCCTACCATCAAGGTCTAACTCAATATAGGCAACATGAGCTCTTCCAGTTACAGAACAGGCTTTATCGATATGCTTGCTCTTTAGCAATATGTTCTGACGAGTCCTGCTTTGACAGTCACCTTGCTTCAGCAGAGAAGGACTAGAGCTGCTGTTCCTCACAGTAGAAACAGAGAGTGCACAGTGCACAGAGTTGGGCAGGCCGGAATCTTTTGTTTTTAAACCATACTTTGGAAATGTCCTTTGGAATGAAGAGACACTGAGAGCAACCACAGAAAACCCAGGCCCTGGTTGTGCACCATTTAATAAATAGCACCTTGTCAAATTTATCTGCACATCCCAGACATGGAACAAGGCCACTTGTTCAGAGCTACTGTTAAATATCTCATCTTGTGAGGTTTCCCTTTCTCCAAGAAAGCATAAGCTGTTTCTTGCAAGAAAATGTTTTCTAGCCCTTTGCTGAAAGCAGTGAGACACATATATTTGGCAAACAACTGCAGTTGTTTCAGATGGGTACCACATGCAGAAACATCAGACCATAAGCTGACATGGATGAAGTGAGGAAAAATATTGCCTTTTAGTGACTTTGGAGTGAGAATGGGAGGAGAATGGATGTGGGCAATTTTGAGAGAGAACATTTTCAACCAATGCAGAGCATTGGGGACTGTTTGGCAGGAATCTCATGGTAGACTTCTGTCATTCTGGCAGCTCTGAAGATACAAGACATATTGCCAACTGTATAAGCTAAGTGACTCTTAAAGTTACACCGAAAAGCCCTATGAGTAATAGACCACTCCTTACTTCAGTCCATCCAATCCTGCTGCCTTTGATCAGAAAATGATTCCCATTTGTGTATTGTGTCTCTTCCTTTTTTTACCCAGGTGTGGAGTATAACACCACTGAAAACTGCAAGGTGACCTTTGATATCACGACTCTCCGATTTTGGGGGACAAGCTATTACTATCAGCAAGGAGCCCCCTTCTATGGAAATGTAAGTAAACGGACAGAAACATGAGAAGTCCAGCAAATGGTCTAAAATAGGTGGCAGGAACATAAATACTACGGAGTCCATTTGTTCTGAGCTACRAAAACCTGATATCACAGATCTCTACCCCAATCTCTCCTTTGATATCTCTACCACAAAAAAATCCAAAGAGGAAATACATGACTTTGCCAGCTAATATGGCTGCTGCATAAATGGGGAGAGGCTGGAGAACTTAGGGGCCCAGAGAGTCCTTTTAGARTAAGAGGAATTGGAACTGCTATGGGAGGTAGATTTTCAATTCTGAGGCCTCCAATTCTGTTTTCTACCTTGCTAAAGCTGGAACTCAAAAGTGCTGATGAGACCCCCCTGAAGAACAAGAAGGTGATTCTCACAGTCTCCTATGGTGACAGGAAGCAGACCAAGACCTACGTTACAGATGACAGTGGGATGTCTTCTTTCACCCTGGATACTTCTGCCTGGGACAACAGCAGCAAAGTCATTCTACAGGTTAAGATCATTTTGCATTATATCAACACTATGGCATAAGATGTAGAAGTTGCCAAGGATGTAAGGAACAGAAGAAAGAAGGAAGAATCATAGAATCAGAGAATCCTTAAGGTTGGAAGGGACCTTTGGAGATCATCTAGTCCAAACCTCCTGCACATGCAGGTCACTTAGAGCATGGGGCACAGGGCTGTGTCTAAGCAGGTTTAGAAGATCTCCAGCGAAGGAAATTCCACAACCATTCTTGGCAACCTATTCCAGGGCTTTATCATTCTCACTGTTAAGAAATTTTTCCTTAAGTTCCTGTGGAACTTTTGGTGCTTCAGTTTGTGGCCGTTTCCACTGAAAAGAGGCCGCCCCCTCCTCCTCACTGCCTCCCTTGAGGTATTTATAGACATTGATCAGGTCCCCCCTCAGCCTTCTCTTCACCAGGCTGAACAGACCCAGCTCTCTCAGCCTTTGCTCACAGGGCAGATGTTCCAGGCCCCTGATCATCCTGGTAGCCCTGCGCTGGACTCTCTCCAKCAGCTCCACATCCCTCTTGTACTGGGGAGCCCAGAACTGGATATAGTCTCCAGATGTGGCCTCACCAGGGCTGTGTATAGGGGGACAATCCCCTCCCTCGACCTGCTGGAGACATTCTTCTTAATGCACCCCAGGATCCCATTGGCCTTCTTGGCCACCAGGGMGCTCTGCTGCCTCATGGTCATCTTGTTGTCCAAAGTCTAATAAGTCTAATAAGTCTAATAAGTCTAATAAGAAAAGAGTTGTTGTAAGTCAATCTGAAGCAAAGCAAGAACAGAGTGGAATTCAATACAGATGTCATCTACAGGAAGCTGACCAATATAAACTCTACCTCTGCTTTCCCATGTAACTATGAAAAAGGCTCACTTTCCTGCTTTTAGGGGTAGGTTTCTAATAACTTACTACCTGTCTTATCTAAACTTCAAGTCAATTGTGCACTTCAAGACAAGCCTTTCTTTGTCAAGATACATACAGTATTTTATACGATGRATCTTGATCTTGTTGTAATTCCCCAAGATGCTGATAACAGTCTCTGTGCAGATAGCATATAAGTTAAAAATGGGCAGTTACTGATCTTCAGTTGTCCCCTACCACATCTACCATAGATCAAAGTAACTGTTGAGGGAAATACAGTCTAACTGAAATATAATCTGAGTGGAATAACAGTGAAATACATTATCATGGCAGATCTCTGCCCAGACTTTCATTATCTGAATGAGACAGAAGTAAAAGATTCATGGGGTTTGATCCAGGGATGAAGAACCTTGTGCATACTCATGATCTGCCATGCTTTTGTGGTAGCAGCAGCATTGCAGAAGTTCAGAATTTAAGCCCAAGTCGTAGTGGTACATGGTTCTGTCCCACTTATGTGCTAGTTATCCCAAGGCCTGCCAGGTCYGGGTGGATAATATTAGGCTCCAAGAAACAGGATGAGTTTTTTCAACACTGAAATAGACACTACCCCAAAAGAGTTCAGAGTATGCTGTGCAGTTGTTTTCACCTGATGGTTTCAGCTTGGGGAGAATGGTAAGACATCTTCAGATACTGAGTAACCTTTTCTGTATTACAGGCAAAGACACATTCCRAGGAGTTAAGTGGTCAAAATGTGAGAGCGTCTTATGGCACTGCATCACTCACACTGAAGGCTTTCTACTCCTCCAGCCACAGCTCTGTGAAGATACAACCAGTGCAGGCAACGCTGCCCTGTGGGGATGTGCAGMGGGTCACTGTGCATTATCGCATTCTGGCCACAGAGCTGGGGGATGGGGCTGTCAAAGCAGAGTTCTATCACCTGGTGAGTGCAGGTTGGCATGAGCAACCAGCTCTCCATCAGGTCTGTGTCACCACTGTGCTTTTTTGCTAGCAGAGACATACAGCGGTATGTATCAACCCCTCACTCTGTTCCACTTCAGGTTTTGGCCAGAGGATCGCTTGTACATCATGGCCAAACAACTGTACTTCTTGATCCACCACTGGGTAAGAATAGCTAAATGCCAAGGAACAGATTAAAGACCCAATAGGAAAGCCCTTCAGGCGTAAATGGGGAAGGCATGAACAGATCCGAGACTGACAGAAAACAAAAGACTGAAAAATTCAAGAGGAAGTGGCAAAAATGTCACCTTTCCTCTGCCTTTTATTTTCTCTATAATTTTCTGATCAAAATTCTGACAATTCTGATAGAATTGTCAAAGTTTATCTGATGAGTATAAATTACAGGAGTCCTCCAAAGAAACATCCTGTGTCTGTTTCGAAAATTCAGAAGGGAAGTCACTCTCTCCTCCAAAGGCACACTTTTATCAAAGCGCCTTGTAATATAAGGTATCTGTTATCAAATGGCATTAATTTACAGCCTGGTCTAGCTGTGGCCTTCCCAGGAGCAAGGCAGAAGAGTTTTTATCCAAGTAACTGTGTAGAACTATTGTAGAGAATGAGTATGTTCCAGGTAAAATCCTTGGAGACAGACTTCCTTGCATATYCCTATATATTCTCTATTTTTCCATCTCTTTCCAGCTCAGTATAGCGGGACTTTCAGTGTATCTCTGCCCATTGACATCATTTCACCAATGGCTGCCCTCTTTGTTTATATCCCCTTCCCTGAGGGCCAAGTGGCAGCTGATAGCTTCAGACTGAAAGTCTCCAAGTGCTTCAGGAACCATGTAAGTAGTACACAAAATGTTAGGGGTAGATGGATTGGAGCAAAGCTCATCAATTGTAAACTGCCAATGAGTGTCCAGCAGAATGTAATACCCATAGTCCCCCATCTCCTTTATCTCTCCATGTCTTGAGACCCTCCTTTTTGTGCTATTTCAGGTGAAGCTTGGCTTCTCGGACACAGTGGCTCTCCCAGGATCAGCCGTTCATCTCCATTTACAGGCTGCACCAGGCTCCCTGTGTAGCATCCGTGCTGTAGACCAGAGTGTCCTTCTCCTGAGGCCAGCAGCTGAGTTATCCAGGGACAGTGTGAGTCACTCGAGTGCTGAGCTCTGCTGACTTTATATTTAATTTTTTTGAGAATCTAGTTGTGGGCTCTGGATAAGCAGGCACAGTGAATATGTTAATAAATAATTGCATGGGAACAGAATATGGCTTCATAAGAAATAAATGGAGGACAYAAACCTTCAGTCCAATATCTCAATCCATATTGAGGGATCTAATAAAATAACTCTCCATTACCCCCAATACAGCCCAAAGTCCTTCCTTGTTAAACTTAGAGCACTTTGCCACAATGGCAACCAAACGGCAAGAAACTTCCAACTCCTGAACCAATCCATTACAGTACTCTGAAATAAAAATTATGTTAGAAGAAATGCCCAGGGTGTGATAGGTTTCATTTCTCATCTCAACTCACATGAACCAGCCAGTCCTTCTGATCACAGACTGAACAAGAAACAAAGCCTTGGTAGTTGAAGACCACTTATGCTCTAGATTTGTATGTAATTTGGTGAGAGGACTCTTGAAATGTCTCTTGGCAGTCACTTGCTCGTGTGATGTGCTCTGAGTCAGACAAGATGCTCCCATAAGCAGGAAGGGTCTCCTCTCAGTTTGTGTTAAAGGTTAAGTCTGTGAACTTAGTATGGTCACAGCTGGATACCTGTTCCCTAAAGGGATTTGTGTTCATCTCTAGTTCATTTAGTGCTATGCAGCTGAAAACTGTAGGGGCTCTCCATGAAGCTCAAAAACATGTAGAACTGGGCTTTTGTTGCAGGCACAATCTGAGCTATACTTCTGCAATCATAGAGAATCTCTGCATAGAAATTTAAAACTTTCTCGCTCACACAATAACCTGTATTGTTTTGATTCTCTGCCTACAGGTGTACAATATGTTCAGCTATCCTCAAGAGTACCCCAGTGTCATCACAGACTCTTACAGTGACTATTGTACTATCCAGAAGAGTTCGGAAACCATCACGTCCCCTCAAACCACTCTTCCATCAGGAGCAGTGTACAACAGCTATTCTTACGCAGTTTCCCAACCAGACGTTTACGAACTTCTGAAGGTAAACCTAATTTCTATAAACCTTGAAATATCAGAGCTAAGTCCTTTAGAACCCCAGAGCAACTTTACATATCATCTTTTTTTTTTTTTTTTTGGCTGAGCTTCTGAAATTAGAGATCTTTGACACACTATGCTAAATTCCCATTGATAAGGCAGGTCCCTACATCACAGCTCCCCACTTCTGCCAAACTCTACACATCCAGACTTTCTAGAAGTTGGAAGGAAAGTGTCAATATGAGTCAGAGAAGACTGGAAGCTGAAAAAGCAGCTGAGAAAGGGAGAGGAATAAGAGAAAGGATGAGGAAAACAGGGATGGGTAAAGAGGTCAAAGAGGACTAAAATAAGAACAAGTCTATACTAGAGCTGGGAAAAAACTATGTTCACAGAGTAATGACTTTGTGTTTGTTCATCCACATSTGTTTGCACATGTGTCCCCCACAACCCTGACAGTAGAGATTCACCTTTCATCTGAGGAGCCAGAGCCTGGACTCTGGGAGTGATTCCTCATACTCTCCCTATGAAGCTCTTCAGTGAGTCAGAAGTACAAAAACATGCTTAAATGYTAGAAGGCTGAGACAGATAAACCCTCAGACATGTTGCATCTTCCACTGAGCTCTGCCTTATTTTCTTCCTTTTTTTTTCACCAGAATTCAGGTCTAACATTCTTAACCAACCTTGAAATCAAGTCTCCGATTGAGTGCCACACCCAGACTACTTTCTACTACGACTACATGTGTACATCTTGATTTATCCTGTTTCCTTGAAAATCGTGGGTAACATACAGACTGCACAAGGGCAGCCACACATGCAGTGTACTGAGGAACTGGGGTTGGCTTTCAGAGATGAGTAGAAGCTTGCACAGGAGTTGTGCATAGGAAGAGGGGAAAGGTCCTGGCAGTGTGAATGCRTGGTTCAGTGGAGGGGTGGAGGGTTGACTGCATAGAAAGAACATACTTGGAACCTTCTGCTGGCAGATAAGAAGATAATTTCATCTGGGGGATCATGGAAATGAGACAACCATCACAAAAAAAAAAATAGAGTATCTGTTTCAAAGAYCGAGAAAGGTTTTGCTGAAAGCAAGAGAATCAGACAATACTGGCACATAGGGTTATCTAGGCCTTTCTGCAGGGTCTGAARGAACAAGAAATGTTTGTGAATATGTTGAGTTCCTCCTGGAGAAGCATATGCATGTGGTTGAGATCCACTTGCTCAGCTGGGAATGTTGGGGGCTTCTTGAAGAGGACAAAAATTGTGCATGGGATCAAAGCAGGAGTGGGAGGGATGGGCAGTTGAGATTTTCCCATCTGATATCTATCCTGATCTCAAAGATACTCTGTATTTGAATGAATGCTTATATTCCCAATAGCTTATGATGAGCTGGCAAACTCAGACAACTTGGATACAGAGATAGATGTTGCTGTTGAAGCTCCTGAGTTAGACCATGTTGAGCTGGGCAGCGAGGCAGGGCAAGTACGTACCTGGTTTCCAGAGACATTCATCTGGAGTCTGGTCGCCATCAAGTGAGTAATAACAGATTATGATCCCACATGAATCCGAACCTTCTGCCATCCGAATCTGAGAGGGAATGGACATAAGCAGAGCCAGGGCACTTTGCCTCTGTGCCCAAGGAGAGAATTAAAATTCTAAAGAAATAGATAAGGACAATGGAGGTTTAGTTCATTTCCTGGCTCTGAGATTTTTCAAATGGTCTTGGACAACTTAAAATCACAGAATACTGTAGGATGGAAGGGACCTCCAGAGTTCTCTAGCTTAACATCCTGCACAAGATGATTAGATCACACTGCTGTAGTCAATTTCTAAATATCCCCCACAATGGAGATTCCACAGACTCTCTGGTCACCTGTTCCACTGTTCTTATCTTGAGTAAGAATTTCCCCTGTTCAAAATTGTGTCTCTCATCCTATCACTATGCGCCTCTGACTTTATTATCTCTACACCCTCCTGTAAGGTAGCTTTAAAGAACTATAAGGTCTACGCTTACCTTTCACTCTTACAGCTAAAAAAAAGAAACAAACAAACAAACAAAAAACCATACAGTTATTTCATCCTCTACTTTTACATCACATACTCTAACTCACTGACCATCTCAATAGCCCTCCACTGGAATCATTCCAGTATGTCAGTGTCTTGCTTGTAATGAGGGGTACAGTTCTCCAGATGTAGCCCTATAAGGGAGAAACAGAAGGGAAGGACACTTACCTTTAACCTGCTGGCTGCCAAGGGCACACARCTGATTCACACTTAGCTTATCCACCAGGACCCTTTTCCTGCAAAGTTGCTTTCTAGGCATTTGGTGCCTAACCTGTATTGTTGTGTGTTGTATCAGCCACTTCTGTTCCCCTCAGTTAGGTATAATCTGATAACTTGGTGGGGATGCACGCTAACACTTCTTCCAGATCATCAATAAAAGCTGTTAAACTGTATCAGATGGATTATCAATCCCTGAGAGATGCCACAGTTAAGCAGCCACCAACTGGACTTTGTTTCACTGAGCACTACCCTCTGAGCTCAATGATCTAGTCAATTTGCCATTCTCTTTATCATTCACTTATACAGTTCACATTTCACTAACTTGGGTATAAGGATTGACACTACGTCAAAGACCTTATTATAGTCAAGTTATGTAACAACCACAGCTCTCCCCTTATTTACACAGCAAATTATCACAACTTTCTTTGTTCTCCGATATATCAATTTTCTTCATCTGTAAATGGGATATAAGTAATTCAAAATCAACAAGAAGAATCCTTGTTTTTTTTTTTTTTTTTAATATTGTCATTTTAAAATGCATTTATCCAGCCTTTTTCCTCCCATGAATTACCAAGACATCCYCACAAATAACTCAGGAGAAATCTTCACAGGAATGGGGATTACCCCTTCCTCTCTGTTTTGTCCTCAGTGATTCAGGGTCTGCCGAGCTACCTGTCACAGTACCTGACACTATCACAGACTGGAAAGCCATGGCTTTCTGCACCTCGGACAGCCATGGTTTGGGAATCTCAGAAACTATCAGCTTGCAGAGCTTCAAGCCCTTCTTTGTGGAACTCACCTTGCCGTACTCTGTCTTCCGGGGAGAGTCATTCCCCCTCAAAACCAAACTCTTCAGTTACATGGAGCATTGCATGGTGGTAAGTAGCTTCCCACAGCATGGGCGTTGGGCAGAGGGGTGTATGATAACATTACTTACTTCACTGATGGAGGCCCAGACAAGGGTCTGACCCCTCAGAAAGTGGGTAAAAGACACCAAGGACACTCTTTACAAAAGTTCCATGTAGAGCCATCTCTCTCCAGATTATCTTTTCCTATAGGCTCAACCATACTGTGGCAGAACCTCACAGGATTATGAAGGCCATGGTGGCCCACTSGTATAGTAACAGTGCCATTGTCTTGTTTACCATGGGACTCTGGGGTTGATTGWCCTGAACTCCCTTTTTCTTTTTCATCTCTAGCTCCAGCTTAGCCTAATGGACTCTGGAGATTTTGAATTTGTGCACACAAATATCAGTTTCWCTACTTGTCTCTGCCCTGATTCAGCAAAAACATTCTTCTGGGATGTGAAAGCAACAAAACTAGGTAAGAGAGACAAAGTAGGGACAGGGTCTAAGACAGGAGTGGGAAATAGTGGCAGAGCTGTTTGAGATGTCTAGACCTGGAGTGGAAGGGAAGGTGGCCTACTACACAAAGTATGAACAACTGACCTTAGGCTGAGCAAACTGAAATGTTGCCATGGTGTGCAATCTGGTCTTTCTATGTTTTGCTGTTTAGGGGAGGTAAATTTCACTGTCACTGCTGAAGCGATTCAACAGGAAGATATTTGCACTCAGAGTGCAGCTTTTGTGCCAGAGACCGGAGGGAAGGATACAGTTGTTAAACATCTGCTGGTGAAGGTCAGAGTCTGTTCCATGTTCCTAGAGGAATCAGTACTTTCTCAGACTCAAAGAAACCCAATGAAATGGCTCTTAGAGAGTTCACCAGTAGGGTAAATATTTCTCRAAGAATCTAGTAGAGAAGTGATTCTGCAAGTGAAGCTGTGTTGGGGCATGTGCTGAAGAMAGTAGCTCAGGCCATGCTCTGAGACCCAGAGCTATCAGAATTGCTTGCTATCAGGGCCTTGGGGATGGTGTCAGTATAGAAATTTAGAAACCTGTTTCCCAGCAATAATTTACAAGTAACAGATATCCATGCTGCCTACGTGAGGTCCTTTGCAGGACATCCTATGACAAAGGTGTTGGGTACCCAGCTAACGTCTCCCTTCTGAGCTGACTAGCCTTCTTCCCACCAGGCAGAGGGACTGTTGGAAGAAAAGACTCACACATCCTTTCTGTGCCCAAAAGGTAAGTGTGGGTACTCCAGAGAGAATGGTCCCTGGGCCTGTGTATGTGCATGGATCCAGAAGACCAAAAAGAAGCAGTGTCATCTTCAAATATCTCCAGTCTGGAGGGGCATGGTAACATCTCATGTCTGGAGGGGAATGGAAAGGAGAAAACTGGGGACCTTGGAGCATTCTTAGGAAGTTTGTTAAGAGGCAATTAGGTTGAATGGGATGCCATTCAACTCCCTCCAGTATCTCAACCTCCTGACAGCACCAAGCCACTGTGTAACCACATAAAGTCACACATCTGTGGATGGCCTGATCACTGTGTCATCCTATCAATCATATGAATTCTAACTTCAGTTCCATGACCAGGTGATCCCAACCCTGTTTATGCTTTCACTATAGCATGTCTGTGTGTTTTCCATCTCCCTCGCCTATTTTTGTACTGATGCTTTTTCCATTTGCAGGAACTTCTGTTTCACAGACAATCACCTTCACTATGCCAGAGAATATGGTCCCTGGGTCAGCAAGAGCTCACATTCTTTTCTTAGGTGAGCTCTAGGAGATCTTGGAAATTAAGATTTTTCCCTGCAGGATGCTTTTCTTCTATTACCACCACCGTATCTTCTGTAGTAAAGTGAGTAACAAAAAGAATTTTATACAGTGAGATGTAATGCAGGGCTCCTAGGACTTCCAGGAAAGCATGCCATTCCATCCTCTTTTATACAAGTGACACTGTGACATATGGATTTGTAACTTCGCCCAGCCAAGGGCAAGATAGGAGGAGTACCACATCAATACTTCTACCAGCCTGTTCCTTTGACCACTTAGTTCTACAATGCCACAGGCTTGTTGACATTAATGTCTCTCCAGTGTGAGGTGAACTGAACGCCAYGTTAGTGTGTTATTTGGAGAATTAGTGGCTACAGAAGTTTTTTGTATGCTAAAACATGTAAAGCTCTCTAAACCATGAATCTGTCACCCAGGAGACATTTTGGGAACAGCACTTAGCAACACAGACAAACTCCTCCAAATGTCCAGTGGCTGTGGAGAACAGAACATGGTTCATTTTGCTCCTAATGTCTTCATCACAAGATACCTTGAACAGACAGGACAACTGACTCCAGAAATCAAACAGAAAGCAGTTGGCTACCTGGAAAGTGGTAAGATGATTTCTGTTCATGCTGGATTATTAAATGGTAATGTTCACTAAGCTGGGTTGTTATATGGACATGTAAGCAGAAACCTTGGTGCTGAGTATTCAGTTTCAGCATTTCAACTGAAACTCACCTGCTGATGAAATTCATCATTTCACCTGATGAAATTCATCATTTATTCAGTGAAATTCCCTGATATTTTTGGAATTACAATGGTGTAATCAGGCTTCTGTGTCTCCACTAAAGAATGGTAAAATATATCCCTCTGAAAGCCCTTTGTTGAGTTTTCATAGACAATACTATCTCTAACTATCACATACTTATTGGAGGGAAGGGTTGTCACCTCGAGAATGTGGCTGACAAAATATCTTCACTGTCTCCTACCTCTTTCCACAGGATATCAGCAGCAACTCTTGTATAAGCACACAGATGGCTCATATAGTGCCTTTGGGGAAGGAAGCGAGCCAGGGAACACATGGTAAGCAGAGATCTCCAGAAACAGTTGCAGGAAGCATCTGGATCTGGTTGTGCTCAAGCAGACCTAGATTCTGGCAACTGGGGATTCTGAGTGAGTCTGGAGATGTGAAGTTATTTCGAACAGAAACCACTCCTGAGCATTTCAGAAGAGAACCACATCAATGAACTGATTTGGGGTAACCTTGTTTGAACATTTGTGCTTGGGCACAATTGAGCATCTACCTCTGAAGACTTAGCTTCAATTTTTTGTTCTTCCCAAGATTTGCAGGGTGCATTGTTTACAGCGAAAGAGAGATTTCTATATGAGAGAGGTTGAATGAGCAACCTGAATGTTAAATATCAGTCCTTCTGGTTTTACATCATATACAGGCATCATGTTGGGATCGACAGAGATCCGGGAGGATTTTTCTCTCTCTCTTAAATATTCTCTTGCTACAAAGGGAAAAATCTGATCTTCAGCTACAGACTTCAAGACTATCTATCTCATGGCTATTGCTTYCAGTTCATCCCATTGCTAAAGGCCTTGGGCTGCTGGTATTTCTACAGGGATGAGGTAGCAGAATATTCATACTTCTGTCCCCCTGACTATCAGTGCTCATTCAGTCTGTTTTTCTTCTCTCCTCCTTGGCTCTAGGCTGACTGCTCTTGTCCTCAAGACATTTAGCCAAGCCCAGGACTTCATCCACATAGATAAGCAAAATATACAGGATGCTGCCTTTGCCCTGATAAAAAGTCAGACAACTTCTGGCTGCTTCCAGAGTGTGGGGAAGCTCTTCAACAATGGCCTAATGGTATGGTATGTTTTGGCTGCTCATTAGGCACAAAGCCTCCCTTGGATTATGTTCAGGGTTGTGATCAGTCATGGTGCTGCTTCTTCAGGTTGTGGATGATGGAGGTTTGCATTTGATGATACCCATATGCAAACTGCACCAATGCACTCAAATCCAAACACACTCCTTAAAACCAAAAATGCTTTCAAGCTCTCCATTATTCCTTGATTAGTAGCTTTAGTTTCCTTTCCTATTAATGAGTTGCCTTTTCTTCCTTCACTCTGGGCCCCCACTGTATAGAGAACAAATGAGATTGATGGCAGCCCCTTGAGAGATTCACCTTTCCAGGAGTGCGACATACACACTCAGAAACAGAACACTTGTACGTGTGCAGGCCACTGACAAAAGCAGAACCATTAACGGTTCGCCATACAGACAAGTGTCTTGATTTTCCAAGTGTAAAGAAGAGTATTTTTTTACTTTACCCCACAAAAGCTGTTTTTCTCTTTGCTCCTCCACACCTTGCACTATCCCAGCTCTCAAGTGAGAGGGCCTTCTTCTTCCTTAGAAGAAGGAAAGGATCAGCACTGTTGTCTATGCAGACTTGGAATCAACTTAGAAACCAAGAGGCACTGGAAAATTCTCTCTCCTCACGGCAGCTCTCCTCTGTTTTCTGATGACTGCAGGGTGCAGTAGAGGAAGGACTGGGGCTGAGCTCAGTGATCATCACAGCTCTCATACATTCAGGGATGCCACGTTCTGTGAGTATCAATAGCAGGGATATGCTGTATGCATAACCTCTTGACAGACAAGTATATTTAAGGTCTGCCTATGTTCATATATATAGCGACCATTTTTTTTTCCATGTGTGTCTTGTCTCTATCCCCACTCCTCTGTACATATTCTTCCCTCAGACACCTTGCCAGCAATTGGTGTGCTTTCATTTGTATCCTAGGACCCAGTTTTGCGGAAAGCTCTGAAATGTATTAAAGACTTGGTCAATGCGGATACTGGCAGTTCAAACCTCTACAGCCTAGCACTAGCTGCAAATGCCTTTGCAGCAGCAGGTGATAAGGCAATGATGCAGAAAATCCTCAAAAGATTGGATAAGTCAGCCATAAAATCAGGTACCAGAGTCTGTGAGGTGGGAGTGAGGGACATGGGCAGAATTGTGTGGAGACCATGTAACTGCAGGGCAGGAATGGGGAACACTATCAGAGCTGTGTGGGGAGCCCGATGCTACAATATTCTGTTTGCCACGCTGACACAGGCTGTATCCATAACATGAGACAGACTTGCTTTAAGAATGGTCTATCAATCCTAGTCTCCCAAACTAGGGGCACTTCATGGATAGTCCTTCCTAGCCTGCAGTTGTTTCATTATTAGCAAAAGCAAGATGTGGAGCATAAGAAGGAAGATAAGCATCTTATTTTGTCCCAATATACTTGTTCACTCAATATCTAAGCACTGGGGTTGAGGAGGATTCTAAGGTCTTTAGATAAAGCTACATACCCCATAAGTTTTCCCATTCTACCCCTAGATGACCAAATGTTCTGGAGTCAACAGTCCAAAAAGGAAGAGGAGTCCCTAGACTGGTATCAGACATCATCTGTTGATGTGGAATTGACATCTAGTATCCTCATGGCTCACCTTTCAAAGTCAAGTCTGTCTTCAGATGACATCAGAAAAGCATCCCAGATTGTGTCTTGGCTCACCAAGCAGCAAAATCCCTATGGAGGCTTTGCTTCAACTCAGGTAATTCACTGGAGCCATTAGCAGCAAAGAAACTGCTCTCAGCTGGGGCATGTGAGAACAGGTTCTAGAAAAGTCTGCCTGTAGGGGTTAAAAGGGGTGAATCCAAATACTTGAGCTCTTCTGAGCTACTTCCATACTAGAGAATCCAAGGGGAAAGTTCACCTCTGGCTTTGGGCTGTAGCTCTAGTACAAGGAAGGGAAAAGCTAAGGAGTAGACATGCATAGGAATCAAGAACACTATTTTATTTGATGTTTATCTTTTCCCTCAGGATACGGTGGTTGCCTTAGAAGCCCTAGCCCTGTATGCAACCAAGACTTTTAGCAAAGAGGGCCCTGATCTTCAGGCTTCTCTTTCCTCTAAAGGCTTCAGCCAAAACATCCAGATAAACAACACCAATCGGCTCCTTCTACAGACAGTGGAGCTGGCAACCATTCACAGAGAGTACCATGTGCGCGTACAGGGCCATGGGTGTCTCTTCCTGCAGGTAAGCCCAGACCGGGAAGCAAGATCTGCCTGGGAAAAAGCCCTGCAAAATCAGGGAAGCTCTCACTTTGTTCTTTAGTCAGGACTGAAAATAGACTGTAGTGACTTACAGAAATGCAGGGCCTCAGGGCTGATAGGAGTRGCTGGGATTCAATGGAAAAGGCACAGTAGTTTCCTGTTTGAAGTTTGGACTGTCTCCACCTAGTCAGAGCTGTACTTCTCCTCTAAGAATCCAGGTAATAACAATCAGGAACAGTTCAATAGCACAATCTCTCCTTCCAACAGATCATTTTCTTTTATGACAGTTGAAGGCAGCAAACAACATCCCAATCCTAGGTAAGGATATTTGACAGCAAACAGCTGCTATTTTTTTGCCAACTAGCTTCTTTCTGTCTCTCCTGATAGGCCATCCTGAGGTACAACATACCTCCCCAGAGAAACAACCTCACTTTTGCGCTGTCTGTGCAGACAGAATGCACCTTGCCCAATGCCACCCAGTTTCCTGTCACTGTCCACGCACGGTAGGAGACACTCAACTGTCCTTTCCTTCCCCTACACTGAAAGGTTTTTTGGCCTGCAGTAGCTTCTAGATGGCCAGGATTCCCCTTTCCTCGTGAGATCCAAGTGCTAAGACTTCCTTGTTCTTTTAATTAGACTCTCCTCAGCTGGGGGAAAGGAACTAGGCCCTGTAGGGATAGTTTAGGTCTATTCTCTTCATTGCATAGGTTCTCCCAAGGTCTACAGATCTCACCTCCTTACTTAATGAGGTCTTAAAACACTAGTGTTGTGAAACTCTTCTGGGAATGATTGCTGACCTCATGTCAAAGTCTTCCCTTCCCTACTCCTGTCTGGTCGTCCCATCAGCCTCCTCTGCTTTTTTTTCTGCCTCATTTAGGCCAGAACTGCCAAAATAACAAGCAGAAAATATGATATTTCCAGCTCTGTGTAGAGGCTGCCCTGTCCATAAACCTTTTAAGGATTCCTCTTGGCTTAGCATAGCTGAGAGAGATCAGGGAAGACAAAGAAATCATTACAGTGCAGAAACAGATATGTTTATAGGACGAGCACTGAAAGGTGGATCCCTCCACCTTAGTGGCAAAGATGAGCTGGAGTATCTGTGGAGATCATATCAAAGTAATATTAGTGCTGTTCCTTGGTTTCCTGTTGCAGATATACAGGAAACCGTGTGTCCACCAACATGGTCCTGATCCAAATGGAACTGCTTTCTGGATACAGCCCTGTGGCAGATTCCCTGGAAGAGGTGAGATTGTAAATTTGCTTCCATCTGGGGTGGAAATGGTGACAGATGCCCATGCTGCAGCATTGTAAGCAATCATGCAAGATTGTAAGCATGTTTGGGAAYATTCTTGTGGGCAGGACCTCTTCCCAAGAGGTCTTTATAGTTGACCCTTCAGGGCCACAGGAGGTCTTCACTTTGTCTTGCTCAACCTCAAGCTTTTGTTTGGTCCCATGAAAATTTTGTCCAGGCACTCACAAGCACAAATTCCCCTGACTATTTCTGCTTTCTGATAGACTGTTTCTGACGGGGTGTTTTATCTATTTTTAGCTAAAGAAAATGCCTTTAGTGAAGAAAGTTGAAAGTGAAGCTGACCGAGTTATTCTCTATCTGGATGAAGTGAGTGAATTTAGATTAATCTGATCATTATGAGGATCATGAGTTTGCAGGTTATTTTTTTAGGGTACTCTTGTATATCTTGATCCATGTGTATTTTAAGTAGTACTATTGTTGACTGCATGTAAGCTGTGTAAATGTAGTAGAAAGCATCCAAGATTGCTCATGGAGTTTGCTAGGCTTACTCAACATTAAACCAGATGGTTTTAAGAGCAGCAATACTCACACAGCCTCATTAGTCAATAGATTAGCAACTGCTTAGTCTTTCACTATCCACGTGTAGAGCTCAACAATACTAGGAACAAGAGCTTTCATGAATTTGAAAACCTCTGAATTTCCAAGGAGAACTTCCACATTTCTCTGGGATGTGGCTCTTCATCCCCACTTGCATATAAGCTGAGCTACRTTAACTTCATAGTGAACTAGTTATTTTAGTGTTGACTGTATTACACTTGCAGAAGAGCTGTTTTTGGTGTATCTACAGCACATAGCAGAAAGGCAGTATGGAGAAAGATTAGGCTGCCCAAAAGCACAAAACAGAACCCACTGAATATCAGCTCAAATAATAGCCATCCAACAGATGTTCATCTGCACCTTGTATTTGTCTAGCCTAGCAGGCTCTGTGAGATCACAGAATAAGAGCTGATCTAACGTGACTTTACAGGAACAAATAGCAACTGAGGCYTGATGCAGAAAAGGAAGCCCCGCACAAAGGAATTCAGAGCAGAAATAAAGGGGAATGTGGGATGTGTTGGGAACACTAGTACTACATTTAGATACCTAATGCTCATTGATTCTATCACTTCGATATCTCTTGTGAACTAAATTTATTGCCTGCAAGTGAGATATGATCATGGAGTTTGAGGTAAAAGATATCTCTGAGATGGAATGAAAGGCAGAACGGATTTGCCACAGTGATGAAGCCTTCACAGAAGCCTGTGTGAAAACAGATTGAAGGGATTGTCTTAAAAGACTTTGGTCTGGCATTAATCTTTGCATCTGTTGGCTTTAGCTGACTCGCCAGCCTCAGATCTACACCTTGTTGGTGCAGCAGAACACACAGGTCAAGGACCTTAAGCCTGCTAACATCAAGGTCTATGATTACTACATGCCAGGTGAGCTCGGAAATCTCAAAAATGTAACACTGGAAGGAACTTTCTGAAATTGTCTGGTCCATCTCTGACATATTAATTTAACCTCCCTTTAAAAATTCTTTAGTGATTCACCTTCTTTGGCTTTAAAATTGTGAATCCTCTTTCCCCCAAAACTTGCAAGTTTGAAGCTAGTATGTGGCTTCACTTAGTATCTAACTCTTCCAACTGGAGGGGAGCCAGAAGTTCCAAGCTGTGCTTTTGKACATTCATTTTGTGAGGGGATAGCTTAGAATAATGACAGTGACAATAATTTGGGTTTTCTGTGGTCCCTAATGGGAGGAAAAGCTAAAAATGTGTCAGGGATTTTTATTTTTTCAGAAAGTGAGGAATACCATAACAGTGCTTGTTAGGACATATGGCTTCCAAAGTTTACAGATGTGTGAATCCAGGCTAACTGCAGAGCAGAAACTTTAACATGTACAAGTGATTTCAGGTGTCACAGTGGCAGTAGTCTTGTCATGTAAACAGAGAGCACACCTCTCCCAGAAGCACAGGTACAATGTTGGTTTGCTTTAGTGATTTTTTGGTGGGTATATTTCAATGGCACTTTTTTTTCTCTCCTCTTACAGAAGAAACTACAGTGATGAGCTACAGTGCCCCTTGCAACTAAGGTGAGGGTTCAACACGTCTTTTGCCATCACGGAGCATGATTCTGAAGTTGATGGAGAGGAAGGGAGATGCAGGCTAGGATCCTTGGTCAAGAAACTTTCCACATGGCAGGTTGAGAGTATGAAGTGATTAGTGGAACTAAGAGTGGTTTCCTGTATCCCAGTGGTTAAAACAAGGGAAAGAGAAAACTGCACTTAAAGGGTTGAGGTGCTCATGAGCTCATGACAGAGTTGGGGGTGTGCTACAGAAAATAAAGGCTGCCTATCCTAAGTCATGCCACTAATGCTACCATTGTGGATTGATTACGCTTTCCTCTAGTCAATACAGTTCTTATATGTGTCATTTCCCCTGCAGTTCCAGAGCCTTCCAGCCCTCTGCATGCAATAATTCACGTACACCTTCATAGCAGAATCCTGATTCCTTTTCATTCCTAGGTCTTTTGGAGTCCCAGCCTGTCTTGTGGTTCTTGCCAGGAAATTAGCACCTGTCCCATTCTGTTTCCAAGCTGGGCAAAGTCACAGCTTGATCTCTGAGTGCCTGGTCTTGTCCGAGGTCTGATATATCCACATTCTTCCTTGTCTGCAGTCCATGAGCTGCAGAAAAACACCCGGTTCATGAGGAACCAGGCACTATATGTGCCACTAATACGTGAAACAATCTCTCCATTTCTTAGATGAAAGACATTGTTGGGGATACCCTGTGGTTGTGGGCAATAAGCATGTATGCAACATTTAAGCATGTATTTAACACTGATACCTTCAGTGGGATATGCACAGCCCAACTCTAAAATGCCTACCATCTATCTTGGTGGAGATTCTGCTTTAGACTTCGCACGTGGCGCAGAAACATAGGCTAAGGGGCCGATTAGGAAAAACCCTATCCCTGATGACTTGACAGTTCTGATTGGTCATGAAGAACACAAAGTTCCTATTCATTAGTTGTAATACTTCAAGCTTCTTGTCCCTTGTTGTCTCCACAGGAACAGGGACAGACCCATCCTCTGGAACCTTTATACCACAGTCCTTTTTCATYTATGCTGCAGCCACCATGTGGAGATGAGATGTGAAGAAAGGAAATGTTTGAAATCGCCTSCTGATCAGTTAGTTTCCTAATGGCTCAGACGGTACCTGACACTTTATCAAAAGTCAGGAGACTCAGATAATCTGGCTGAATGATTATCTAGGCATAATGTTTTTCTCCAAAATCAGGAAAATCATGTTTAAGAGTACCCAGGAAAAATCATCAGCTCAGTTTTGTGTGCCCATACAAGGGTAAAACTCTTCCCTTCCAACAGACTTGCACAGGAGGAGGTGGAGCATATACCAAAGCAGATTTGCTGCTAGGAGAAAGTGGTCATCACACAGCCTGAGCTGAGGCAAGGGAATCCTGTCAACCACTCCTTTGGCCAACTGCATTTTAGATGTATCTACTAAGTGCAATTGGCAAGGAGCTATTGCTGAGAAGGCATGAGGACTTATAGTCTCAATGGAGTTATATTACTGTTCGGAGACRGTCTCAAAGCAGAGTTAAAGGCAAGGGAGCTTGGAGAAAGAGTGTGGGAGATGCATCTTTCACAGCACGTTCAATTGCATCTTGTTCCCAAAGCTGCAGAGGACATTGCATGGAGTGCTAGGAAAATAACATATGAAGTCCATAGAAAAGCAGTAGAGTAGCTTCAAAATTTGTACATTAGAAACAGTAGAAATGGGCTGGCTCTGTAGTTCATCAACAACTGGCACAATGACAGCAGGGTCAGGGTGATGCTTATTTTAATTCCTCTTCTCAGGCATACCCAGATACATAACCCTTCCCCGCTTCTGCCTGCCCACCTTGAGGTTTCCACAACGTAGACACAGATAATGGATTGTGGTGATCCCAAAGTCCAACCACTGAGCCACAAGGTGACATATGTTCAAGTTTAATGTGGGCAGCATCCCAGATGGGGCATCCCTTCTATTCAGTGCCCAACCTGGAAAGTAAGGCAAAGGCAAGAGTCACCAGCTGGCAGCTTCCCTCCTGTTCTTGATCACAACTGTGGGAACTTGGGCTTTCCTTTCTGAGGAGCCATGTGGGACTGTGGAGGACATAAGCTAGGACAAACAAGAATGGAATGACTCATTCCCTCCCATGCCTATCACTGTGAAGCAAACTTCGTGTTTGCTGATAGTGTAGCTGGCTACCTAGGCAGGTCCCCAGGCAGTACTCTCTCCAAAGGATGTGACAGGATGCAGCACTTGCTGTGTGAAGATTCGGTTTTATCCTTTCAGAAAGGACTTCTCCATATTTTTCCTGGCTTCAAGCTAATAAAAACATGTCACCCCCTTTTTGACAGCTGAGCATGTCACCCAACAAGACAAATATTACATCTTCTCAGGTGCAACTTGCTTCTTTGGCTTCCCGAATCACCAGTCTCCTATCCTGCAATGAATGTACAGGTGTAAAGAAGTGGGGTACCATCTAAGTCTGAGGCCACTTGTTAGCACAGGYGATTGTAGCTCTGTATTCTCATTTCATATAAGATGGCTACTAGGTTCAGCCATTCCTTCTTCACTCCCATTTAGACAGAGGCTGTGCCTGTCTGTTACCCACTAGAGCCTTTCAGCTTCCTTTCTGACTGCAAAAGAGATTGAAGACTAGCTGCACACATCCAGCCACAGGTAAACTGACAGTTACTCATTCTTGCTGGATATATGCTCTCCAATAATAATAATAATAATAATAATAATAATAATAATAATAATAATAATAATAATCCTTATTCCTGCCTTTGAATGCCTGCATGACTGAAAGGCATTCCCTCCCTCCCTCTCAAGACCCATCATTTCCCAACACCAATGTTCTATCACAGTTTGTCACAGGTACCTGCTGCCTACTTCAACTGCACACAGCATTGTAGTCAGCCAAGGCTCGCTCCTCTGCGAAAAGAAATAAGGAAGAGAGTTACACACACATACATGTGCACAGAGAAGAATGCACAATGTATTTTCTCAGCCAAAAGTTTAAGAATCCAGCTCTCAGCTTGAGAGTAATCTGCAACCAACCTGGCTGGTAGTAATCATAGACTTTGATGTTGGCTGGTTTCAGGTTCTTCATCTCAATTATTTGTTCCAGTTGCAGAATGAAAGTCTGAGATTCATCACTGAGCTTGTGCAGGGGGATATAAATTAGCAAGGTAAATTATATATGCATCTTCATCTTTCCTGCACTAAATCTCTCTAAGCCATTATAAATTCTAAATTTTAGAAACTGATGTATGTTAGCAATAGAAAATGCTAATCAAAAAAAAATTTAATTAGGCAAGGGTCCTCTACATACCTTTCTAACATTGTTCTTGCCCATTGCTAGCCCAGCCTCAGGCTTCCCGCACAGCTCCTGTCCCCTGGCTTCTTGTTCTCACCATGCTCAACCTAATGCTCTTGTTCCCATTTACCTTTTCCAGATAAATGTAGACCACATCAGCTTTTACTTCTATTTTCTTAATGATGGTTTTGCGCTGCAGCTGAAACAGGAAACAGCAACATAAAGAAATTTATAAGCTCTTTCCTTAGGGCTTCCTGTTGGACTGAAGAGGAAGTGTGTCTTTCTGCACCTTTCTGTGCACAAAGGTTTTACCGGTCATGTCTTTGGTAGTTCATTCTCAAATATCCCTCATGAACCTCATCTCAAGGATGAACTATGACGTTCCCGCTATGTTTCAGAAGAGTGTCTCACTCTAGGAACAGGTGGCCATACGGATAAAATACAGAGTGATACGCTGGTCAGCAGACAGGTATAGGCACCAGTAAAAGCTGTGATTATCATATAGCATTGTCTGCCAGACTGCTCTTAAAGACCTGCCTGGAGGTTGTGCAAATAATTCAGCTTTCAGTTTCAGCACTAAAATAAAAAAAAATTGGCCTGAATTAAAAGCATTCTTCTCTTAGAACTGCTGATAAACAAATCCTGAACAAATCAGCACACCAGAATGCACATCTTTCTGTCCCAAGGCGTTAATAGCGACAGTGGGAGGACCCAAACCATCCCTCAACCTCCACAGTCCACCCTGGTGGGCCCTGCAGAGAAATGAGAGACGTTGCTTCAATGACAGCACTAAAAGGGCTCATGTTAATAGTTGCCTCACAGCCTGAAATAGGCAGTTCCCAATAGCAGTAAGCAGTGTCACCCATCTACTACAGTTCTCCTTTTCTGATTTCAGGCTCCTTACCAGCATCCTTGATCCTGGTGTCAGGATGAAGCCAGACAGCAGGGAGACCTCCACAATCACCATGTTAGAAGTGACTCTGCTCCCAACATAGCTGAAGAAGATCAAAATGTCAGAGAGTCCTTTCCAGTTCCCACTTCCYTCTACCATTATATGCTGTGTGCAGAACCCTGAGCCATGTAGCCCAACCAGGACCAGGGCTAAGACAGGACYGTTCACTCTCACAGGAGGTAGCCAGAATCTTTGCTTCACCACCCTTTCCACCTGCCAAATTCACCTTCCAGCCTGTCTGCCCCACTGTACAGTCCCTCCWTTGCAACCTTTAGGTTTTCCCAAGTGCCTTGCCCTGTTAGAGCTGTSAGCTTGCTGGAGAAGTGTATGATCCTTGGAGTCACCTGACAAGGATACGGATGGTGAGGACACGCATACTGGCCTGGCTACAGTTGGTCAGCTGTGTGTTGACACGCAGAGTGAAGGTTGTGGTAGTTCGTGGGGGAGGCTCATGGTACCTCAGCACTGTCTGCAGGGTAAGCATCAAAAGTGGAAATGACAGGTTGTATATGAGATGAGGAGAAGAGGAATAATCCTCTCTCCTCCTAACGCTTTACCTGAGCAAAGACACAACTGCTGCCATGGGCCTGCACCAAGAAATCCCCCGGTATTTCTGCCAGTTCTGCCTGCTGCAACAGTAGCCGTTTCTGGCGGGTGACTTGGAATGTCTTCCCAAGGCCCCTTTTGGACTTTACCCTCACAAGTGCTTGGCCAGATGTGCTGAATGTCCTTGCTGCATATTTTGCCAAGGCTTGCAGGGCAACAACTGTGTCCTAGAGATTAGAGAGACAGTCACCTCTGTGAGGATCAACTCTGTAAAGCCAAATCTAAAGGGGAATTCTCTCAAGAGAATTAATTCTGCCAACTTCAGGTGCAACAGGATATAAATACAGCTGGAGTTATTTGTTACCTGGGTGGAAGCAAAGCCCCCATAGGCATTTTGCTGCTGRATCAGCCATGCCACAATACTGCTTGCAATTGCCATGTCACCTGCATGCACTCGTGGTTTTGAGAGATAGGCCAGGAGCACATAGGCTGTTAATTCTATGTCCACTGACTGAGTCCTAGGCCAGAAGTCTGTGGAAGGTGGGGAGCTTGGTTTGGGACTCCAATGAATTTGTCCTCCTGGGGAAAAAAAAAAAAAAAAAAAAAAAAGGCATGCAGTCCATGCAGAGAGCATGAAAATTTGAATTCTAGAAATAGGAAAGAAGAAATACAGGGTTTTCATGGTTCCTTCAACTTATATCCTTGACTCAGGCCAGGCTTGCTTTGTTCAATTTATTCTCCAGGGTTTCACCCAGTCCTAGCTCACAGGTTTTGAACTCCTCCCTCAGGAGGATCCTGAAATCTTCCAAGCTGAGGAAACTTGCTAGTAAGTCACTTTCACAGCATGCTCAATAACACATTGTACCTGCAGTCACACAATGCAGCTACTGCACAAATACAAGGGCATCAGGTGCAGTATTTTCCTCTCAAGCCTTTTGCATAGGTTAACATACTCCAGGTTTGGCCATCTTAGGTGCAGTTGGGGTATCTTGCTTGGATACATTACACCAAATTCCAGCAGGTGAAGGAGAGGCCCTAGCCGAACAAGTAGTCAGCACCTGATTTGATGGCCTGCTCTTCCAACTTATACAGCAACTCCTGGGTTGTCTCATAGTCTCCAGACAAGGCAAAGGCATAGGCCAGGACAGCTTCTGTGTAGATGTTGGTGATATTGTGAACTGCTTTCTGCAGACAACTGAAGGTATTCTGCATCAGCTTGCCCTGCATTGGAAGACACACATTCCAAGCTTACGCAGCAGCAAAATGTAGGCAGGCTGTATAACTTCATGGGGCTTATTCGAGGTGTTTGTTATGAGAAACCTTGGAAGAGAATGCACCCAAGAGCGTATTTTTTGCTGTTGTTGCTGGTATATTATGAGAGARTACGGACAAAACAGCGGGTGTTATTGGGACATCATGAAAGAATACAGGCAAAACAGCAACACCGGCTGAAGCTGAAAATAAGGACCAGCGTATCTTCAGGAACTGACGGAAACAGAGCAGTAGAAGCAAAA